AACGGTTGAGTTGTTATGCACGACAGCTCATGCGCATGAAAGAGCACTTGGAGATTCTTGTTCTGTAAAAGGCATGTCGGCCTGGATGATGATCTCGCCTAGGATATGTTAAGCCGACATAATGATAGGAGGTACCGATATAGGTTCTATCACCTCAGAACGCCGAGGTAATAGAACCTAGGGGGCAGTTGTGGGGATATATTTTTTGAGTCCCAACACGTGGCCAAGGTGACGCCGACGTATCAGCCGAGGTGCCACGTGTCCATGTTATGATGCCGAGGTAATCTCGACAAGGCCGAGGTTATCTCCGAAGATATCGGAATCCGAGATAAGCGGATAAGGGACAAGAGTCCTTGAATGAGGAAGGACTTTAGTCTGGATAAGGATAACACTTTTAAGGAGTTTATTTTTATCTATTAGAGAGTCCTGGATAAGCACTGAACATAAGTCCATTGAAGCTAGGCTTCTATAGGGACAAGGAGTGAGGTAACTATAAAAGAAAGGCACCCCCAATGGGTCTAAGTTACGCAAGTTATATTTTGGATAGTGAGTTTAGCACTATTGATTACCTTTGAGAGATATACTGACTTGATCATCGAAGTGCCCTCGGGTGGATGAACCACCGCCGGAATCTTCTCTTTCTGTTGCAGGTCAGCCATTCGACAAATCTTACCAGTTATACCCAAAGGAATTCGTGAGCAAATTGTGAATGCATCATTAAGACACTCTGTTCTATGGAAGCATATATATATCTTGACTTTGGATTTGAATATGCGCTTGAATCATGGAGACCATGAAAATGCTATTTTTGCAAATTTCTTGATAGAGGTAAGAATACTTTAACCTTTTTCTTTATTATATAGATTATTTTAAATTAATAAATTGTTTTTACACTCATATTTTTTATAATTGATTTCACTTTTTTTAGATTGGGACTAATCCTCAAGAAATCATCAACCTTCCATCAACAATACACAAATGTCAAGATTTGAATGAATTGCTCTCTACAGTTTACTCACAGTTGAATATGATAGAGACGTCGACTCCAACATTTTTAACTGAACGCACCATTCTATCTGCGCGTAACGATGATGTCAGTGACATTAATACTACTGCGTTGAATATCTTTCCAGGGAGATTATATAATTATTTTCCAGCAGATAAAATGTCTGAAGATAATGAAATAGATCCTACCATTACAAATAGATATCCTAATGAATATTTAAATTCATTGGATCCTCCCGGGCTACCAACTTTTAAGTTAGAGTTGAAAGTGGGTTGTCCTATAATATTGTTAAGAAATATTGCACCGAAAGATGGACTATGTAATGGTACAAGATTGATGGTTACTAGGTGCGACACTCGCATAATTGAAGCTCAAATTTTAACTGGAGAAAAGTTTGGCAATTTGGCATTCATACCAAGGATATCTTTGACACCATCTTCTTCAGAAATGCCTTTCCAAATGACAAGACGTCAATTTCCAGTCCGATTAGCATATGCCTTGACCATTAATAAATCTCAAGGACAATCTGTGAAATTTGTTGGGGTTGATTTGCGCATACCAGTATTTAGCCATGGCCAATTATATGTGGCATTGTTCAGATGTACATCATTTGATCGCATAAGTATTCTCCTCCCTAAAGATAGTTTGGATTCTACTACAAATATTGTTTATCCTGAAGTGTTGTTGTAGTGTTCCATGTTCATTAAATCATGTTTTATCAAAAGGTAACCATGTAAATTTATTTCTATTGATTATAATATATTTTTTTTTATAAAATTTCAATCTAATAATAATTGGAAATATGGATTTTTTAAGGATTGGATCAAAAAATTTATGGAGCTTAAAAGGAGAAATACAACTAGCTTGCTTCGATGGGGATGTAATAAGGTAATTTCAGTCTCAAAGTATTTTGATATGTATATTTCCAACAAATATACCAATCTATATTTTTTTTTTTCCACAAATTACCAGATTGTTGTCCATGTTCCTCATTGGGGATGCATACAAGTTGATACAAAGACTTTTTCGAAAGTAATGAGGAGGAAGTTTGGGCAAATACATGTTTGAAGACACATTATTGACACATCTTATGTTAATAATACATATTCTGGAAAGCTTCGACCCACTTTTTTTTTTTTATAGAGTTTTAACTCACTCTTTTAGCGTATGATAATATAATGTTTGTTTTTCTTATGTAGTTAGAATTTGATTGGCAGCAGTAACACTAACTGATGTGCATTTTAATTTTAATTTCTTTTAAATTGCAGAGTATTGGCTGGTGTGCATTATTTGATATTTAATTTTTTTTTATATTTGATGTGTTTGAAATTGTAAAGTGTAGTCTATTAAATAGATTTTTATAATTACATTTTAATCTTAAATTTAAATAGTGTTGCGATAACAATTATTTATACCGTGCCTTCAGGCACGGACATACGCTAGTATATATATATATATGAAAAGATATGATATGGTGAAGAGTTTATCCCTGCAAGTAAAGTTTTTCCTTATGTTAATGTTGTTAATTGGGAGCAATAGTATCACGTGAAAATATTGGAAAATACAAAATATTCGTAATTACTTAGGCCTCTCTTTGGAAGTGATTTATAAGTGAGTTTATTAACTTTTGATTTATTTGAAAAGTCGTGTTATATGTATTAATTGGTATGTTAATATATATATAATGATATTATCAATTCAAATTTATAGATCCTATCTATTATACAAATTAAAAGATATAAATTTTTTAAAATTATGTCATATTATCTGTTAATATATTAATTGATATATCAATTAGTACGTATAACTTTATTTTTTTTTAAGTTACATCCCTTATTTTTTTTCATAGCTTTTCGTAATAAGTAAAAAAAGAAACATATATTAAATAAGCATAATTACTCTAATTTATATAGGAAATAGGAAAAATTTTTAAAGCTGTTACGATGATTAATGACGGTAGGAAATTTTTTTATTATTATTTTATATAGAGACTAAAATACCCTTCTTATTTTTTCCTTAATTTCATTCATTAATTTGGCTTTCATTATTTTATTTTATTATAATTATAATTATAATTATATATATATATATATTTTTTAATTTGCAACACATATAGTGGTTATATAATTTTAAATAAAGTATTTTTATTTATTTGATTTATTTTTTTTGAAATAAATTGAAATGCATTTTTAATTTTGTTTTGATTGTAATATTATAACATCAATGGATTTCTTTTTTTGGGGTTTATAAAATTAATAGATTAAAATCTAATTGGAAGTGAAATTCAATAATCTATTTCAAAGAATTGTTTCAAGTTAAATGAGCTTCCAAATAAAGAAAGTAAATATTGTTTTGATCATACAACTATCGATATCCGATCGACGTGATTTTTTACAAATATATAGTACTCGACGATTTCTATACATTGAACGGTTTAGATTATCAAAACGAGACTCGTGATGGACCCCCACAGGCCCAACAGCACGGTTCACTCCGATCCCGGACTGGACAGAAGCCATACCCATATTAATAAGACCTTAAGATAATAAGTGGTACTACATACATTAATTAATGTACTAATTAGTATAATGATATTATTATTGACTCCACTCATTATACAAATTACAAATACTAAAAATATCTTAAATTATGTCACATCATTAATTGATACACTAATTAGTGCATTAATAGGTGCATATAACATTAGTCTGATAGTATTGATATAGTAACTTATTAATTTATTCATTGATATCATGGCTCCGTTTGGCAAGAGCTAAACGGGGTTTTTTTGGCTATTTTAGCCACAAAAAACAAAATAGGCTATTTTAGTCACAAAAAACAAAATATCACATCCCACTCATAATCATTACATTCTTCTCTCACAAAAAAAGCAAAAAAAAAATCAAAAAGCCAAAAAGTCCTTCCCAAACCAAACTTTTTAGCCCAGGCCAAAATAGCCAAAAAAGTCAAAAAGCCAAAAAGTCAACCCACTTCCCAAACGGAGGCTAAAAGTGATTTTTATGCAAATAATCTTTCCTATAAAATTTATAAGATAAATAGTTTGTATCATTATTATGACTCCAAATCAGTGTGTTTGGTTTGAGTTTTCTGAATTAAGTTTTTTGAAAACTGAATTTTTTGTTTTTCGTATTTTTTTGTTTTTAGTGAATATTTTTAAAATTTTAAACATTTTTTTAGTTTTTTAGATGCACCTTACTTAGATGTATCTAAAAAGTAAAAAATTTATGAAAAAATATTTTAAATAATTAATAAATAGATAAAAATACAAAAAATGTACTGAATTCTGGTATTTTTTTTGTATTTTTGGTATTTAGTGAATTTTTAAAAGGTTTTTTTCACAAATTTTTTACTTTTTAAGTATATTTATGTTAGGTATATCTAAAAATTAAAAAAATTGCTTAAAATATTAAAAAAATTCATTATAAACAAAAAAATACGGAAAATAAGAAGGTAGAATTTTCTGAAAACTGTTTTCAGAAAAACGAAACCAAACAAGCTGAATAGAACTTATAAAAATAAAGTATAGAAGATTATGGTGGGAGGAAAAAAAAAAAAAATTACTACAAAGTTATGAAAATTTTGTTAGAAGTGTCGAATATTTTCTAACATCAATATCATAAAGCAATACTTAAATCTCAACCATGTAAATTTTGTTAGAAATAGCAAATATTTTCTAGAGAAATGCCTCTGACCCCCAGTGGGGTGCTGGGGATCGCGCGTGTAAGGCTTTGATTGGATAAAAAAAAAAAAATATTTTTTGTTTTTTTTTTTATTTTCAACCAATAAAATCACGTCATGTCACCGGGGTCGGACCCCCACTGGAGATTTGTAATATTGTACTATTTTCTAATATCAATATCATAAAGGAATACTTAAATCTCAACCATATAAATTTTGTTAGAAGTGTCAAATATTTTCTAACATCAACATCGTAGAGCAACACTTAAATCTCAACCATGTCAATTCAGATTCGAAGTAATTTTTAAAGAAAGAGAAAACATAATTGCCTCACCACACGAGCGAGCCCAAAGGCCATAGAAGTTGGAGTAACCAAAACTCTCTCTCTCCTCCTCCCCTCTCTCTCTAGAATTCAGCTTTCTTTCTGCGTTCTGTAATTAAATGGACGACGAGCTGTTATATACATTTGTTGCAGCTTTAATGGAGAGCAATTAGTGCGTATTTAACATAACAGCCAATAGTTACAGAAATTGCGTTTCACTTGTTGCATGCCCACGTGAACTTGGAGAGTTTTTCTCTTTGGATTCACCTATTAAACATAGACACATCACTTCGAATTCAAAACCCAAAAAGGTCAAGAAATATTTCATTTCATTTGAATTCATCAGAGATAAAAAAAAATGAGACCGAAGATCTATCTCTTTGGTGACTCCATCACTGAAGAGTCCTTCGACGATGGCGGCTGGGGTTCCTCTCTTGCTCACCACTTCTCTCGCTCGGTATATACACTTACACACACACACACACACACACACACACACACACATATATATATATATATAGATGTCTGTAAATTTGTGTATTTTGTGATTGTTTTGAATTGGGTTTTCTCTGTTTTTTGTGGGTTTTTGATGTTATGAAATGGGTACATGTAGATATCTGTGAATGTGTATTTTGTGATTGTTTTGAATTGGGTTTGCTTTGTTATTTGTGGGTTTTTGATGTTTTCAATTGGGTACATATAGAATGTGTATTTCAAATGGGTTTTCTCTGTTTTTTGTGGTTTTTTTTTTTCGATGTTTTGAAATTTATTTTTTATTTTTTGATGATGATGATCAGGTGGATGTTGTGTTAAGGGGGTATAGTGGGTACAATACGAGGTGGGCTCTGAAGGTGGTGGAGAAGGTGTTTCCGTCGGAGACGGAGGAAGGGAGTGGTGGTGGTGCGGCGGCGCCGGTGGCGGTGACGGTGTTCTTTGGGGCGAATGATGCTTGTCTTCCAGATAGATGCTCTAAGTTCCAACACGTCCCCATTGATGAGTACAAAAACAACCTCTTTTCCATTGTCTCCTTCCTCAAGGTACCTCCCTTCTCTCTCCAAGAATACACGCACACATACAAAACTGATCCAGAGACACGTGAACATTCTTTGTAACAGTATCTGAATTTACAGATTTTTTCTTTTTCTGAGAGGATTTTTTGTCTTAAAAGTTATTTTTTGTGTAATTTTTTTTAAAAAAAAGTTTTAGTGTTATCTACTTTATACGAATTAAAATATTAAAAAAAAAATTCAATTTTTTTAAAAAAAATACCAATAACGATTTTTATGTTTTATGTTTTTGTGAAACAGAATTGCCTTAAACCACAATTTTATTTATTTATTAACAATTTTGGGTTGTTAGTGACTAAAAACAAATGTGGGTTTTGTATAACAAATTTTTTTTTTATTTAGTGTTATCTACTTTATACGAATTAAAATATTAAAAAAAAAATTCAATTTTTTTAAAAAAAATACCAATAACGATTTTTATGTTTTATGTTTTTGTGAAGCAGAATTGCCTTAAACCACAATTTTATTTATTTATTAACAATTTTGGGTTGTTAGTGATTAAAAACAAATGTGGGTTTTGTATAACATGTTTTTCTCACTCTCTTTTTTTATTTTTATTTTTATTTTTATATATCAATCGTCAAATTATGCTGGTGTGTTAAAAGAAAGGACAAAAAAATTTCCCTCCTTGATCAAATATTACTACATAGTTTAAATTCTCCGTTTTATTATTTCTTTCTTATGTTACCTCTCTTTAAATTTATAAAATTATGCGAATAGAATGGAGGATATTTTTGTAAATTTCTTATTTCAATTATTCTTTATATTATGGGGGTGGCATTAAACTATGATAAATTCTATTGTTGAACAAAATTTGGTGGATTGTGGGAGTTTAACTGTCAGAATTTCATTAAAAAAGTACACAAGTTGCACACAGAAGAGTTGGGAAAAAAAAAGGTTAAAAACTGAATTGGAGCCTACAAGTAGTTGTAATATATATGTCATTTGTGTGTAAGGTGAGTTTTCCTCTATTGTGGATGTATGAATTGGTCAACAAAGTTTGGTGAGAGTGAATCTATCACAAAAAACTTTAATCACTATATTGGACAAGTGGTCCCATGGAGGATCCTCTGAACGGGCACTGGTGCCAATCAAAGCGAAACCGGTTCTTATGTTCAGAATCTCCCCTATCAAATCACTTCTCTATCGTTGGATTAGTCTTCCCCGGATTTGATCATGTGACAGAAGAAATTTGAGACAGGAGATATGAGACGGAGGACAGGGCATCCTCTGTCCGGTTGTTTTTGTTTAGGCTGATAATTTTATTTGTATTTTATGCCGAGTTGGGTGCACAGTTCTGTCATGCTCTGTTGGTTAGGGATTGTATCACATCACATGCATAAAACTTAGTGACACTAGGTTGTGAGTCAGCAATTTTTTTATTTTTTATTTTGTTAGATACTCAATCTTTAGTTGGATTTGTTGATAGTTCTTTAAATTAAACAAATACATACTGATTAGCTCTTCTTTAGGCCATCTTAATCTCTCTCTATGAGAGATTAGGTTAGGCTTTTGTTTTTCTTTTTTCACTTGTCATTATGGGTCCATGCCAAAATCTGCCATCATCGATGTGTTTGCATGCGTGTGTTTGCGTTCACGCTTTTCTTTTCTTTTCTTTTCTTTTTGGCTCGTATGTGTGCACATTCATGCACACATGTATCATGTTTACATGTAATGACTTCTTTGTTAGAGAATTAGAGAGCCTACAAGCGCATAGCAATACTGGCTCAATCCATTAGGGAGAAACTCTAGAGTCCACAAATGTCATATCAAGATCCAGCATACATTATTTGGAACTCATATTCACTTAAAAGCTTAAGCCTAAGTGGAGAGCCCATCTAATGTATATTACGACTCATCTCTTTTACTCTTTATCCGATGTGGAACTCTACCTTCACACATGCTTCAACATTCCTATTATGAATGTTCATGTTAGTGATAGGGCTAGTGTGTATGAGCTGTCAAACTATATATTGCATAAATTTTCAATAGACATGTTTGTGGAACTTAGTAATGTTGACAGTCTGGTGAATCTTGTCTTGGTTTTTGAATTTTGAAATGTAGTTGTTGAGCTTGAAATGGTTTAATACTGAATCCTGTTAAGATTTCAATGTAATGGTCTACTTGTTGTCCTACATGTTGAAATTTGGAGGGTTTAGATTCAGAGTCTATGGTTGGTTCCCCACTTAAGTAGAGTCAGTTATATTTTTTACCAATTAGTTGTGTTGGTTGATAGTAACATTCATCACTCTCTCATCTTATTGGATGGTAATTACTAGTTTAAAATTATTATATACTTTGAATCTGGAGACGAGAGCATTGTTGTGCTCAAAATTTCTCTTTCACAATTGACTTTAGGTTTTTTCTATATGAATGGTAAGTAACCTTGTGCACTAATCAAGACAGCAATAAAATAGCATGTCAGACATATGTAATGTTAATACATTTTTAATCCTCGGTATGCATCAAGATGGAATAGCATTTAGAGTCTCCGTTGAATCAACTACAAAATGTACGCATGAAATGGAAGGATAAATAGCACTAAATGTGGGCTTCAAATATTTTATTTGCATTGAGTGGAGAGGAGAGATTTTTGTTGAAAGTATTTAGGTTTGGATTGAGTATCGTCTATCATCCCCAGAAGATGGAACTAGATTGTTAATTAACGTACATAAATAAGAAAGTGGTCTGTGGAGGATCCATTATAAAGGAATTTTAATTTGTGAGGTCCATTTATTGCTCGTTGTTTGCCACTAAATTGTTGCTAAATTGTGAGATGTGCATTGTGCTATTAGCTCCTGTCATTATCGTTAGACACTATGAGGGGACAATGTCATTATCGTTTAGACACTACAAGGGACATTGCATCACATCACACACATTTTGTGAAATCTAGTGCTCACACATATCTGCTTGTAAATTTTCATACATTTGTTTTACCAAGTAAACAGAAAGCGAAAACGTTTCTGCTCGGACAAATTTCAAACTGAAATGGTATTGGAAATCCATGTCTATCAAAATTTTGTTTCTTACTATGTTGAAATGAGCATGCTGAAATTACTTTGACCATGCAACTCCAGGATTTAATTGACATAATGTTGACTTGATAAATTTTTATTTAGTCTTGTCCTAAGAAGCACAGACACTTCTAAGAAGGTGACGTATCCGTGTCATGTTCGTGTCGGACATCGACACTCTTTGGAGCCTCTTAGGACACGTGCCCGACACTTTTCAAAACATATCCTATTTTAAAAATCCAGACACTCTTTGGACACTTGGAGGATACACGTGTCTATTGGTTAGACATATGTGAAACTAATTATAAATTTGAACAAAATAACTTAAGATATAATAATAAAACAAAAACCATATAAATTTATAGGAATTAGTGTTACATTCCATTTTTTATTATTTTTGAATGATATATTCACACATATATATATAATAAATAAATAAATTCATATATTTCATGCGTGTCCCTCACATGTCGTGTTCTGCATTTTTTGAAAATTAACGTGTCGGCGTGTTCGTGTTGCATTCGTGTCTGTGTCACGTGCTTCTTAGGTCTTGTCTCATGATATGGAGTTGTAAATTGAAATGGTTTATCTATGTTGCTCAACTTCGCAACTGTGGTTAGGTGGTCAGATCTGTGTTGCATTATAGATTTTATATTTTTTTAAATTTAGTCTTCATTTCCAAATATTGCATTATGACTCCCAAAATTAGCTTCGAAAAATTAAATCAAGACCCTCTCATGCTCCGAAGTGTGTCCTTGATGTGTCCTGTGAAAAGAAATTACTAAAAAATGAGCACACCATGTGGCAAGTCGAATATGTGTCCGCACTGTGTTCGTGTCCCATGTGTCTGATATTCTATTTTGAAATGCCGATGCTTTGAAAAATTAAATTAAGATCCTCTCATGCTCTGAAGTGTGTCCTTGACGTGTTCTGTGAAAAGAATTATTAAAAAATGAACACACCATGCGGCATGTTGAACATGTGTCCATGCCATGTCCGTGTCCCATATGTGTCTGATATTCTATTTTGAAATGGCGATGCTTCAGAGTGGTTCATGTTGTTGACTAAGGATCAATAAAGGCTTGCTTTGGATTTTGTGCAATCCTGGTTTGGCTGGTTTTCACTTAGAATCCCATAGGTTCTTATCAATTTGGATAAGATGAGTACTACGATGATTTTCACATAAATCACCACATGAATATATTTATAACTCAACATTTTCTAGGTGAATCATTGAAACTAAGTTGTCCATTGCAGTAATCTCAAGGAAGTGATCCAACCAAATCCAAGGTTGTTAAAATTGGGATCCTAGGTAGGATCGTTGGGAGAGACTTGTGGATCGGATCGTAGAATTGAATCGATGATCATAAGATTCTACTTTCAATATAAAAAAAAATAAAAAGTTATCCATAATGATTATGTATCTTAAATAATTTAAAATTCTGAAAGAAAAATGATAAAATTGATATAATGCATCTTTTATGTTAATATAAACTAGAAGAGATGTTTAGAGAAAAAGTTTAAAGTTATTTTTCTTATATAAATATACACACACACATATATATATATACATATTTAAAAAATAAATAATAAGAATTTCTTTTAATAGAATCAGGATTGTAATAGAATCGGGTTCGTAGTGCGATTCTACACGATTTTATGACTAAGATCACGTTCACTTTAAGATCCTATTGAATTTAAGATCTTAGTGCGACCTAAATCGGGATTCTAATAACCATGACCAAATCTAGTTGTTAATGCTTAATTCAATACTAGGCTCTTTGCTTATGTTTTTCTCTCTATTTGGATTCAGAATCGATGGCCAGGAACTAATATTATCCTCATCACTCCTCCGCCAATTGACGAAGATGGACGCCTTTTGTAAAGTTCTTCTTCGAAACACATGACTTCATTTGTTGGTTTTAATTCTATTGTTTTGTTATCATGCAATTTTTTAACTGGGAAAGGACTAAATTTGTTATTTTTGAAAACATTATAGGCATCCTTTTGTTGAGAATATGTTGGGGTTGCCCGAGAGGACAAATGAGGCTGCTGGTGCTTATGCCGAAGCTTGTGTTTCTGTTGCTGGAGAATGTGGAATTCCAGTGGTGGATCTTTGGACCAAAATGCAGCAGTTTCCTGACTGGCAAAAAGCTTATTTAAGGTATTCTCTTCATTTTCTTGCAATTTTTCGTAGTTTGTGAGTGATTTTCTTGTATTATATCCAAGAATACTTAATGTGCCAATCAGTTATAAGTTAATCTGTTCTGATATATTCCTTTTGGTTATTGGAGATTATCTGTTCTATCATATAAAACCTGCAACTCACTTGGTGAAGGAGAGCTTCTATTCGCACACCACTCGTTTTATCAGTTGACATCCATTTTTTCCATTCGAATATCAACTATCAAACAAAAAGACAATTATTTAGGTATCAAGTGTCATGGATGTTCGTTCCAATGTGATATTAATTGATATCCGAAATTTTGTGTAAACTGATAAACTTTGTAGTATGTAAATAGAAACTCCCTTAGCAAAGCTATGTCACACATTTGTTTTCATGCCCAAATTACCCTTGTTTCAAATTTTTATTTTTTAAAGCTTTTTTTCCACTTTTATTGGAAGCTCTTCTCATGTCATGGATTAAATTTCACTATGAAATTTCTTTTAATAATGTTCAATACAAGCACACAAAAGCAAGCTATGGAACTCTATGACAATTTTTTTTCATATTATTGTCAAATGCAGAGATGGTTTGCATCTCAGTCAAAGTGGCAACAAGATTGTTTTCGAGGAAGTGATTGGGAAACTGAAGGAGGTGGGCTTGAGTCAGGAAACTCTACCGATAGATCTGCCACTCATAGCAGAGATCGACCCTAATGACCCCCTTAAGGTTTTTAATAAGAATTGAAATCATAATAAGACCTCTTTACCTTTTGTGGATATTTTTGGCTGCTTATTATTATTTTTTACATAATTATGTTATGAATAACCAACTTTAGTACCTGGTTATATTATGACTGGATGTTCTAGACGCAATTCTTCGAAATTGTGTTCTGGTTAAGTTGATATAACTTTGTTATTAAATCTCTTTTGTGTTCATCTGATTTGGTAGGTTACTGTTTACAGAAGCAATTAATCTGTTTTTCGAGGCAATGAAAGATGAATTATCTAATGAAACGCAACATAATTGGGTTTGTTTTACTTTTTTTGATTCCTTTGTGCATTTAGGAAAAATATTTGGCCAACTGGATATGAACCCAATCAAAATTTTGAAGTTGCAGCGATGATGGCAGGTACAAAACTCGAGTTCTATCAGTTTTTTTGAATGAAAGATGATGCATTTTTTAGCTGCAATCTTAGAAATGTCTTTCAAGTTACATTACACATGCATGTTTTGATTGATTACTAAGAAGAACAACTATCTCTCTCACAATCTCTGCAAAAACAGTAAACCGTATTGACATACAAATGAAATGGGGGCTGAACCAAAAGCCTGTCCCCCCCCAAAAAAAAAAAAAAAAATCATAAAAATAAATAAATAACTTATGGGAGTCCTTTCCTCAAACCAGGAACAATGGGGAAACCTTTAAAATAGTGTATAATATTAAAATTTGTTTAAAAATTATTTTAAAAATAGTAAAAATATTATTTAAAAAATAATGTAAAATATTATTTTAAAAAAGAATTCTTGTTCTTGTATTCAAATAAATTGTTAATAAGACCCTAAAAACAAATTTTTAATTGGCCAGGCTAGCTGCCCAAATCATCGACCCAACCAATTTCTAAAACCTCAGCACAGACCTAACCAATGGGCCAATAGAGGCTGGGCCTCGGGCCTAAATTGGCTCAGGTTGGTTGGCCTTTTTATTTTGGGAAAATTGATGATAAATCCAATTTAGAGGGTGTTTAAGGCATTAGGTTGAGGGTATTTTTTTTTATTGGTGAAAAGTTCACATTTTGTGAAATAGTTTGGTGAGAGATCATTTTACTTACTTGAAGGACATTTTGTTTCCAATTTTACATATGTTTGATTTTTCGTTGACTATCTGTTAAAATTATTTTTATTTGTTGAAATTTTTTTATCTGTTGAAATTTTTTATTTGTTTGACTTTTTGTTGATGATCTGTTCAAATTTTTTCGTTGATTTTTCCAATTTGTATTTTTTTATCATCGGTATTGACGCCATCTTCGTCGCCTTCTCTCTCTATCTGTTTAAAATATGTAAGTTTCTCTCTCTATCGGTTCATTTTTTTATCTATTCAATTTTTGTACATATTTGTTTAAATTTTATCTGTACAAATTTTGTGTTTAAATTTTTATCAATATAAATTTTTTTCTACAATATGTTGAACATATATGTTCAAATCTCACACGGATCTGTGGTCAAATCATTACAATATATATATATATATATATATAGATTTATCTATTCAAATCTCTGTTCTCTGTTCTCTCTCTCTCTCTCATCCTTATCTGTTTTAAAGTGTTTGACTTGCATCGATGCTACAATTGAAGATCTATGAAAGAAGACATAAACAAGCATCTTTATCTGTTTTAGAGTGTTTGACTTGCATTGATGCTACAATTGAAGATCTGTGAAAGAAGAAGACACAAACAAGCATTTGAAATTGAGCTAATATAAAGGATTAAACTAAAAAAACTATCAACTTAGAGAGAGAGAGAGAGAGAGAGAGAGAGAGAGGAACAACACAATGAAACAACAACAAACAAATTTTTTTTATCTGTATTAAACACCATAGATTATTCACCAAAAGCACATATTAAACACCACATATTAAACACCACACTAAGATTCGCCAGATTTGAGGAAATGAAGAGAAAATCTGATGAATCTGAGTCTTCACCACTCTTTTTATACACCTCGACTGACTGGAATCATTTCTAGTTTCACATTGTGGTTATTCACTAAAAACATATATTAAACACCATAGATGATGATGATGATGATGATAAGTAGATGAAATCAAACAAATAAGAACAAATTTCAACTAATGACTCTCCATATGTATACATATATATTACCTTGTTTGTGGTGATTTGCAGATTTACGCCACCGACAACGGTGAGATCAGCGGGCAATAAGCAATAAGTTATGAAAGCAAATAGAAAATCAAGATCATCTGAACAAACTAAAAGTCCATCATACGTTTTGAACTCAAAACCTTCAAGGGGAAGACGAAGATGGGTGTCGATGCCATCGCCGACGGCTGAAGATGAGAGAGAATAGAGAGAGTAGAGGAAAGAGAGGGAATGTGGTTTTGGAACCATGAATATGATATATATATATATATATATAAGGGTATTTTAATTATTTTACTTGAGCTTGTCCTTATGGACATGATGTTTTATCCTCTGGACCATTGACAAAGAAAATCTAAAAATAGATTTATCACCCTAGTGCCCTTTTATTTTTATAGGCCCTTGGTAACATTCATTTTTCGCCCAAAAAATGAAGGGTTAGGTTTCAAGACCTACTCGGAGGTTTGGGCTTAGGTCTGGGCTCGGACTTGGCTCCAATCTTGGATCAAAATTATTTAGTGTCTTTAGGATTATCATGTGACTCATGCCACACATAACCCACTCACTAATTACCAAATATTATGCTCGTATTATCTTTGTCAATTCTCAACGTAAAGTAGTGTGTCAACCTATTATTTTCATCAATCACAATCTCTTTGAGAACCATTAGACTAGGAGTGTAAAAATGGCCTGCGGCCTGTGAACGGCTTAAAACCTGCCCGCAGCCTGGGATGAGCCCGATCCGATTAGGGCCGGTCTCGAGCCCAGCTTAGGATCTTGGGCCTGGGCTTGGGCCTAGGCCATCATTTTGAAATCCAATCCAACCTGCCCGTGGCCTAACCTATCAGCCTGTTCATGGCCCACTCAAAGCCCGGCCTGAGACCCTTCCCGTCCGAGGCCTAGTGTCATTTTTGTTGAAAAAAATAAAATTTTGGTGAAAAGAATAGAAAAAAATAAAAAAAAATGTTCAAGCCTTGCCCAGGCCCGAGCCCACCGACCCAGCTTGAGGCCAGGCTCGTCTAAGGCCCAAATACCTATTGGTCCTGGGCCTAATTTTTTGGCCTGTGGGCTAGCCTGGCCCGACCCAAATTTTGACGAGAGCTCGTGTCACGACCCAAATCCACCCCTATAAGTTTAGTGCCGTAACCGGCTAGTAATTCTGGGATTATCGACGGCCTCTTAACAAATTAAGCTAAGTTAAGGGGGCTAGCGGAAACAAATATCAAATACATTGTCCATAGAGCTGTGTAGACATACATGAGACAGAAAATTTAAAACTTATATACATATATGTGACGTCATATTCACATTGGTCTTACGTTACAATTATAGATACAGTAAAAAAGGACTTAGGACTAAATATAGAGTATACAAAAACGGTTCAGACAAACAAAAGAAAACAAAAACTTAAACTTGTTTGTAAAAACACGACCACACTTTAACTCGGAAACCTCCCCGGGAGGCACTACGGTTGGCTGACAAAACAGATCTCCAAGCAATCATCACTGAGCCTAGCCACGCGCCTGCTCACCTACATATATAAATAATACAATGAGTTGGAGTTTAGTAAATAATAACAGAGTAAAGGTTTTAATGAATGATGATGTTCGTAACAGATTCAGAAATCAGAGTTCAGAGTCATAAATAGATTCATATTCATATTCAGAATTCACTAATAGTCATACATGGTACATCCATTAGTGCTAACAGAACAGGTGACACATAAAGGGACTAGATAACCCATAAAGGGATGTATACAGAGCAGATACAAAGCAGATAATGGTTATGCTTAACCAGTTCCATAATGGAACCTCTGGTACCAGGCAACAGATATCACATGATGCTAAGGATGCCACGAATACATTTTAGAAAGTTGGACAATCAGTTATTTAATCATAGAATACCATTGTAGAAACAGATCATATCATATCATTCAAAAAATATTTAAAGTTGAACATAGCTTTATAGAGTTATTACTCATAGATAGCTCCAGTAGCAAAACAATCAGAATAGACGGATTAGACAGTCTATGGCACGTGACATACACAAACACATTGTAGATACACTTTGATACACATGCGTAGAAAACACATAACCCATTTCTTTTCTAGCTTGGTGGGTTTCTAACTCTTACCCTCATTATTATATCTTAATTAAGACTTAGGAATGCCTAAGATGCAACAAGGATGTCAAAATATACTTTGAAACATTTAGCCAAAATTTTGAAAACAGGACAGTTCGCTTGAGCGCAATTTTGGTTGCTCGAGTGGGCCCCTTAGTCTACAAAACTTCTGAGAGCTCTCATTTTATACTCGAGCACAACTTTGATTGCTCGAGCTAAGGTTCAAAACAAAGGGTGGTCGTTGGAGTGAAACTTTGGTAGCTCAAGCTAACCCCTAAACTCTGCAAAAGTACTGGGAGCTTGCATTCTTCGCTTGAGCTCAACTTCTACCGCTCGAGTGAAGAGTGCGAATTTTGGAATTTTCAGATTACTTCCTAAGCTCCAAAACTCAAACTTAAAGCTTTATAACACATCATTTGGGCCCAAAACTTAAGAAAACATGTCTCAACTTGTATAACATCCTGAAATGAAAGCCATTTCGCAAAATCAAAGCTCAAAAGTAAGCCAATTGTTCAAAATCAAACTTGAAACTTTGGAAACACAACATGCAAGAATTGATATGAACTTCAACCTTTCCAAACATGATCAAATAAGGTAAAATGACATGGAATGTGATGAATTCTCAAAACCAAACTAGAGTTACCACATGCATGAAAGAATTCTTTTGAAAACAACTTCAAAACTTTATGAAATGCACATGCTTGCATGAATTGGTTCCCAATTCCATTCTATAGCTCAATTTCCATGCTAATTCACATATTTCACTTGATTTCATGTACTTAACAACTCAATTACATAACTAAAGGGTTAAAGTCATATGTTTAAGTCTTAATTTGCAAGAATTCCAAGTTGTTTTTCCCAAATTTCAAATCTCTAGCTTAAGTTCAAGCTAATTCCTCAATCTTCCTCTTTTTGGTCTCAAACTCTAGCTCTCCTTCTCTCTCACGTTTATGTTGAGTACAAAAATGATGGAGTGTATATGAGGTGCCTAGAAATCATTTTGGCCTTATATAGGCCCAATTAAGCTTATACTAATTAATTGTTATTAGTGCTAATTAATTTATTATAATTATTTGGTTCTGAATCAGATTTCAATTAAACCTATCATAAATTTCTAAAAATTCCAAATTACACATTAACCTAGACAATTTCGTGATCGGATGCCAATAAGACTTTCAATTCGTATAGCGAAACAGAAATATAGACATATATTTCTACCATGGACAGATATAAACACAATTGACACAATATACATGCAATTAACTTAGAATTTTCGTTTAATTACTTATTAGACATTTTTAATCATGATTTATTGACTAATTACAATTCGAGGTTGTTATAGCCCAAGAGACCCAACATGGGTCAGGTCCGGGTGGACTGGGCCAAATTTACACCCCTACATCTGACTTTGCCGGACTTTATTGGATACCTCAACAGAATTAATTGAAAACTCTTTTTGATACTAAGGATGACGCTAGTAAAGGATCTCGAGGGACACATGGACCTCAAATTTTTAAGAAATACTTTTTTAGCTTAGGTTTTGAGATAGTTTTTAATTTTTTTCTTTCTAAAATAATATGTATATTCTTTAATTTTTCTTAATTTTTTATCAATACATCACTAATTAAAATATTGATTAGATTGACTCCTTATTTAGTAGGGAGATTTATGTGTAGGTCGTAATAGGTGGACTTATTGTCTAATAGATTCTATGATAATTAATGGTAGGGCTGAGTAAGGAATCCGTGAAATCCGTAATCCGATCCAGTCCAGTCCAATCCGAAAGGTTTGGATTGGTTTTTTGAATCCGTGGTTCAGTTTGAGATTGAAGAATTAAAAATCCGTAGTCCACGGATTGGTTCCAGATTGGAACCGATCCGGACCGTATGCAAATAGTCTATATTTTTATTATACATCCTCCTTCATAGTATCTTTTCTTATTCTATATAAAACCTAAACTCAAACCTAAACCCGTATAATATCTTCTTTAATTACTTTTGTTTGTTAGTTTTTAGTTTTAATTTATAATGGTCTAAATTTTTATGGTAAAACCAATTTTCTTATGGTTGTTTAAATTCTAGAACAGCATGTTACTATTATAGAAAAATATGTTGCTATTGTGGAACTAATATAGCACTATGTTTATGTTTTTATGAAATTAAAGTGTTACATATATATTTTTTTGTTATTTAATTATGTGAATCTGTGGTCCTAAACTGATCCAATCTGTGTTTAAATGGATTGGTTAGGATTGGTTCCATGATTTAAACGGATTGGATTGGTTTCAATTTTTTAGGAATCGTAGATAACAGATTGGTCATGATTTTACCCCAATTCGATCCAATCCGGACCATGGTCACCCCTAATGAATGGTGTTTTTCATTAAATACTATTAAAAAATGTCACTAATTATTAATTTTCAGCGGCAGTTTAAAAATGGTCACAAAAAATGTCACTAATTATAAGTTTTAGTGACAGTTTAAAAAAACTGTCACAATAAAAAAATCACTAATTTTCAACTTTCAGTGATAGTTTGAAAAATTCGTTATAGAAAAATATCATTAATTGTAAATTTTAGCATTTATAAAAATTGTGACAAAAAAGTCATTAATTGTTAATTTTTAGCGACATATGTAAAAAATCGTTACAAAAATTATTTTTAGCAACTATTTTATTAGGACTTATTTTCAATAGGAATTGGTGGCAATTAAATCCAACTATTATGACCTGTTGATAGTTTTCCTGTTTATTAGTATACTAGCGGTTAGTACACGCAATGCGTGTGTAATTCAAATAAATAAATAAAAAACAAAAGAAAAAACTTACTATATGTTTTGTGTTACTTAGACATCTCCAACGATTACTCAAATTTGTGTCATCAAATTTGAATTTTGGTGAAAAAAATAACAGTTTCATCAAATAAGTATCAAATCCAAGATTTCGCATTTCTTTTTATA